TTGTTAAGATATTCAGACTGAACCACCCAATATCAACTCACACCAATGAAATCGTAAGCAAATGATAGTTTGCATTTTTTTTTTTTCCTTCAATTAAAAAATGATCCGGGAAGTTATGAAGAGTCTGTTTGGTCCGGATTTTAATCTAAGTCAAAGTTAAATAATCAATATCAACCACATCTTTCATGGGTGGCACAACTACTTGCTGACCATTGTGCATTCACTATTACAAAAACAACAAAGTAAGCCCTTGTTTGGTGGGAGATTAAAAATCAAATTTTTAGTAGATTCTGATAAAAGTCGACAAATGTATGGATGAAAAGTTATTGGTTTAATGAAATATGTGATTAAAATTAATTGTTGACTTTGATTTAGATTAAAATCTAAATTTCAATTCCTCCCAAAGGTATAGAAGATTTAATAAATAAAACCCTTAATTAGGGGTTAAAAATTCCATTTGCCAATGAACTTACTCAAATGTTCTTTAATTGTCATTGAGCTCTAAAAGTTCATTTGAGTTGCTATTGTAATTACAAATATTTTATTCCATCGGTCACCCATTAATTTGTCATTTTAAAAGTTGATAATATGACACATGGAAGAAAGGTAAATTATGGAGTAACGATCAAATGATATATTTCTGCAAGTTCAACTATTACCTTAATTAAAATAATAATACCATTATTACTTTCCCTTCTTTTTTATTTCAGAAAATACTATCCTTTAGAAGTAAAAATGCAAAGTCACAAATCAAATCAAGTACCATGTTTCACGCTCAAAATTTTGGAAACCTTTTTCACTACCAAAATCCTTCCATTCTTAAGAGTTTTTATTTCTAGCATAATTCTGGTCCAAATTGGAATACATCTCTATTTTTTCTTCCTCAATCCAGTTTTTATAATATTCATCATCTCAATGTTAATCTTTGAAGCTGAAATCCCCATATTTCTTTTTCTGTTTTTACACCAAAAATTCTGCAGCATAGAACTGGAAATTGAGAATTTGGATTGTAAAAATGTATTTTTGCATATTGCAGGTCTCAAATCATTTTTAAGGTTTATCGGGGAAGTAGGCAAGTCTACTTTGGTGAAGATTTTGTTGGATAAGGGTTATGGGAATATGGTTGTTTGTATAGAATCAAAAGGTTAAAGTTTTAACCCGCAGGAGCGTAGTTAAAACACAATATAGTGAGTGAAAAATGCAGTATAATATGTAGTATAACAACTACACACAAACCAGAAAAGAAGGAAAAGAAGAACAGGAAAGAAATTACAAATCCGAGGCAAGTGATGGCACTCTTTCCTTAAGACAATATTGCCCTGCTACGGTGC